CTACCGCTAGGGAGGAACCCGAGCCCGGCATTTGGGCCTGTTTTCGACGGCCTTCGGCAGCGGCATTGGGGGGAGGATACCAAACACGCTTGCGTGTTACAAAATATGGGGATTATCATGCAAAATATGGGGGAGGCGGCGGAGGCGGCAGCAGCAGCAAGGTAGTATTAGTCTATCAGGGGGTTGATGATAATGGAGGGCCAAAAAAAGCCACGGGCAAGGCGGTGCATCCGTGGGACCCGCGGCCTATTACAGAGAGATTGAAGATGGATGACTTCATAGCCGCACCACTGCATTTTGTTCACAGTCTTGTTGCTACTATGCAGGTACTACTATTTGTGTATAATGAAGTAACGGATGAATGGATGAGTCAAGGAAGCATTATTTGTATAATAGCAATAAGCAATAGACAAGAAATAACATGTTTGACACTATTATACGGTGTTGATTGCTAAACTCCAAGCTGGCATCCTTCCGGTGTTTCCCGGCTATCTCCTGACTGTCAAATGGCTATCGTACGAAAAGCCTGAAGTCCTAAAACAAGCAGCCACAAAGAAAAAGAAAAAAGACAAAACGAAGATTTGCGGGGAAGAGTATGCGTTGTTTCAGATACATCTACCTAACTAGTAGTAGCTTTTATCCGGAGAAACCTTGATTTGAAGGATTCTCTTTTTGCAGTGCGTTTTATTCAAGTCACCATTGGAAAAAAGATCAGACAGCTGGATGGCTGTTTTGAGGGCGTCCAGCTGCCCTATCTCTGGGTTAGTTCCTAGCGCAGATTACGCTGATCCGATGGGATTTCAGTGGCCAGGGCGGGTGCCTCAGCGCTAAGAAGGTTTATCTCTGGGGGATGTGGATGGAGGGGGGGGGGGGAGATTGAAGCATGGAGCCTTGTGGAGGCAAAGCAAAGGCAACGCAAACAGCAACGCAACTGTAGACCAAGTTACAAGTTACATATTGAAAGGGGGGTTTGTTTTTTCCCGAAGGGGGTGTGTGTGCGTGTTGTGGTGGTTGATGGGATGGCAGTGGTGAGGGTGAGGTTAAGGGTGAGGGTGCTTGTAGGGCCCAGGCAGACAGCATTTGTTTGGCTCGCTTAGATGGAATGGCATGGGAATGGAAGGGGGGAGTGTGGAGAGGGAGAGAGGGTTAGATACGGGGAAAGCAAAGGGAGATTTCTTTCATTCAATGATACGAGTTTTTATTAGCCATGTATTGTATTGCGCGTTCTGCTGGGTGCTGCAGGATAGCCATGTGCCGTGCTTCGTTTCGAGGTTGCGCTGCTGCTACGCTCTGTCTGGGGCTGTCGAGGCCACATGCCTTTTTGCCTTGTGCTACTGGATTTTTTTTTTTTTTTTTTGCTTCTTCTTCTTTTGGTTCCATCCATTGGCAGCTGATTGTAGGCAACAGGTTTGCCAGAAAATGGTACGATGTGGCACTGACACGAACAAAGGAACCAGATAGTCAGTCCTTCGTGAGGCGGGTGATTGCATGTTGTATTGGAATCAGTTTTCCGTTACGCAAGAAGCCGGGGCTATTCGTTGCGTGTGCGCTACGTACCCTTATGAATAGTAATAGGATCGGGCTGAGGCCATTGATTGGATTCCCCAGAGTCTGCGGACTCCGTACCTATTTCTTTGGACCCCATATGAGTGCGTCCTCGGTGTCTGCGTGTGCTTGTGCAACGCCGTACTCGCCTACGGGGGCAATTATTGTATCATCTTTGCACATTACTTACTACATGTACTTCGCCTTTCATTCAATGTGCTAAAGATTGTGCTCTGCCGCAGAGTACAAGGCAGTGCTACGTATGCTAGGCATCTCTTAAAGAAAGGCTTCATCTGTGTCTCTCACGGCATGTGGCATATCTCTCCCCCGCTCAGCCGACGGCAACGACGCCCGGCTTCTTATTCTCCTTGTTTCTCCTCTCTATTATATATCAGGGTCACTAACTACTGCTAGTAGCCTGTTCATGCGGTAAACTGCACAAGCATGTACCTGTACGAGTGCACTAGGGACATACGGAGAAAGCCAGTGATTCGTCTGCAAAAGGACTGCATGCCAATGGACACCCTCCCTACTGCTGCTGCTGCTGCCACTGCTGCCTCGAAACCTGGTCGGTAAGGCTGGGAAGGGGCTTCTGTTGGGTTTTCCGGACTGTGTGATGCCGCTCGTCCATTGGGCAACGGCAGGGCGCCGGAAGCACACTTGCGGTCTAGATGTCGAGATGGGGGAGGGATCGAGATCACGTCAGCGACCCTTTGGCCGTTCCGGCGCATGGGAGAAAGTTGCCGGGCTTTGCTGCTGCCGGCGGGTGATCTGATCAAACGGGTGATGGATGCTGTTTGTCTGCGTGCTGCGTATACCGGGCATGCTACACGAATACATGTACTCGTAGTGACATGCTAACACTAATACCTACTCGTCTGTATGTCTGCTGGCGGCAGCATCATGAGGTCCGGGTAATACGGGGCCATGGTGGTATCCGAATCCGGGACCGGACAAGGAAAAGGCGGAAATGATAATAATATTAACAATAACAAGAACCAAGAAAAGAAAGGAATACTAATGAATCACATACATGGCCACGACCACGTATCCTCACTTACAATGCCGTGTATGTAGGCAATAGGAGCATGCGACGCTATATGGTTTACGTACAGCGAATGAGACCAATGCAGTGCAACTGCTCTGCGTAAAAACAACAGCGGTGGGTTGGGACTCCTGGTGGCTTGCATGACTTCTTGGCTGTGGTTAACAGCTTCTGCTGCAGCTGAGTGAGACATGGGGAGAAAGACATTCTTTGCTTTTTTTTTTTTTTTTTTTTTGTTTGGTCCCTTTTCCTTTCCTTTTTTTTTCTTGTTCTTTGTTTAATCTCTGCTCACCGCTTCAACCGGCCTGACGAATGAGGATACTGAACGAGACACACCACATTCTGTTAGTTTGAAAGTTGTGTGTAACACATACTCCAGCAAAACGGGTGACAGCCTTTTTCTGCTGTGCCTGTTTTACCCGTGCGCCCGACTTTACAAATCTTTACACTAGCGATGTCGAGGTGGTGTGCTGTAAAAGAGAGAGACGAGTACGCAAACGGCTTGGTTGCCTGTCAAAGTCGAGGAATTTGAGGAAGGGCGTGGGCAGACTTTTGTAGAGGTTAGGAATGGCGGAGTGAGTGTACATACTTTGTACGTCACGAACTTTTATGGTGGGGGGTTTTAGTACTAGGTATGTATGTAGTGCTGCCGTTTTGAAGCATAGATCGTCCTTCTGTCTCACGTGTTGACGAAGATTTTTCTTCCTTTCTCAAGGTAGTTCCTCTAGGCCATTTTTTTTTCCCTTCTTTTTAATTTGTCTCTTCTTTGTCTTTTGCTTCCTCGTCAACTGCCAGACTGATCTGACATGTAGGTACTCCACGTGAGAATTGCTTGGTGGGCTGTGGTTGTGGCACATGGTGTTGGGAAAGCTACGCCATGTCATGTGAGCTGCTGCTACGGCCGCTCCGAGGTCGCTGGCAACCTGAAGCCGTCTAATTGGATGCCATTCTCTTGTCTCTCGTTGATTCATCATTGATACTATTAATGTATTTGCACAACGGCATCGAGTGTGCTTTGTTTCATATAGCGGCTTCATTTGAGAATTCCTCATCCAGCAAGCCATCAGATTTAGCCATCTCGCAAATGTGGGGGTGGGGTTTGATTGTCCTCTGTGGGCTTTGGATCGGGTTAGCAGCCAGGCGTCAGCAGACTGATTGTCGCGATGTAAGCGTTTGATCGCGAAAGAACCGCACAGCACAGGGCCTGTTCTCGCTTGACAGCATTACTAACGGCATCCTCCTCACCTCTAAAGGGAATAGAGAAAGAGACGCCGCAGAACGGAGATTCTGGCGGGTGGCGAATCAGTCAGCGGCCAACGCCAACAACCCGTCTTGATATCAATATCACGTCTGCTGTACGTGCATATCTGTGCATGAATGGATGTGCAATCTCTGATTAGAGATGGCCCAGGGCTGGGGGAAAGGCGGGGAAATACAGCAGACTCTCAATTCTGCCTATCTTGCCGATAAAGCTACCCATGCATGCCTTGATATCTTCCGGCCCTTCTGCCCTTCTTGAACCATTATCATCCTTATCTTGCATTCCCGGCGGCGATACTCGCGGGCATTTTTACCCAGATTACAAAGTAGCAAGCTGTGCTCAATCAAGCCGCGGCTGCTTCACGTCCCGCTCCCCAATCAAGGCATGCTCGGCAAAAATCCCAACGCGGATGGTGAAGCGACTCACTTTGGGCAATGGGTAAAGGCAGAATGAGATTGATGCTTGATCGCGCTTGGAAATTTGCAAAACCCCCACGAGGCCATCACTGGCTCAAAGGCAGAATAAGAAATCACATGGCGTAAATGTGCCGCTGGAGATCGTCCTTCACACTGGGGGATCGTCATTCAGTGGGGTGACAGAGCACGCACAACGAGGCTCTACGGCGATAACTCTCCGACATGGGATATGGCCCCAAATTGCAGACTGGGTCCTTGGATATCGGGCCAAGTGCTGCGTGCTGCTGCTACTCCATAGCTACTGACTAAGGTAGCCGGCATCACCGTCAGCTGAATGCCTCGTATGGAGCGCAGCAACGAAATTGCCACATTGGCCGCAGTTTTAATCACGACGACAGGAAGTGCGCTTGCGGCGCCAAATTCGGGTCAGAGAAGGAAAAAAAACTAAGACGAGATAAATAAGAAGCCGGTGGGTTGGCGACTGACACAAGCTAGTACTACACGCACCACTCTTGTATGATATGAGTTCATACTGGAGGCATTTGTCTTAACAGCCCTCTCTATGGAGTACATTGGGACAATGAAGCTATCGCCGTCTCTCTCCAGATACATAGTACTATGTCGCTCCCCACTTCGCCGGGCCCTCGCCTTCTCTATTCACACCTCTGTACAGGCACCTAATCATTACGCATAATTGTCAGGCGAAAAAAAAAAAAAAAATAATAATAAATCGCCTGTGGCGAGCCGCATGAAGATGGCCGCATTTTACCACTGCCCGGCTGGCCTGCTACGTTGCAATGCTAAGCCGCTGAGCAGGGAAAAAAAAAACAGAGAAGAGACGCATTTTGCGGCATGGGGAAGAGGTGGTTCAAGGAAGGTCCAGTATCCAATCCAAGGCACCTCCCTAGCAGGACGCACCTAAAAAAGAAACATGCCTCGCATCAGCCAATCAATCGCCAGGGTGCGCAGGGCGTCGACGCATCAAAGCAAACGCCCCTGTGGCTTGTCTGGTACGTGCCGCCCATCTGGACAGGTACCGTCTAGACCCTGCCCAAGAGCGCCTCACACGGGCAGGGGCCGAAGTACCCTTTGGGGGCCAGATTGGTACCTGCCAGTTGATACGCAAGCATTGCAGCCACGTTCCTCAGCCTCGCAAAACGAAACTCGCTCGAACTCAAACTCGGCGAAACAGAAAACCCCCCAAAAGAAAAAAAATAAACCGCGTCCAGTTGCAAACAAATCAACCTCAAACCAGCATCCCTGCCCGGCCGTGCCAGCACAGCACAGCACAGCTGCCAGCCTGTGCTAGCTGCATCGCTGGATGTACCTGTAACTCGCATTGCATACAGCCGCTAGTGCGCGAATGCTTGTACCTGCGACCTGGATTGCCTACTCGTGCCTGGGCGACTGACTCGGCGGCCGCAGACTTGGCCTTGCTCAATGCTATGCCATGCCATGCAAGGCACGCACCGCACTGCACCCACATTTCATCGGAATGGGGGCCCGCAAAGAGACACCGCAACTTTCATTTCAATCTGGTTCTTCAAATCTGGAACCCGCGAAACAACAAGGCCCATCGTACGAGATCCGCTGCCGCTGCTCACAGTGAAACCCCCCGCGGGCCAACGCCCAGGCAGGCCCAACAATGTCGAGAGCCGCAAGCGAACCTCCATGCTCTTGCGCTGGATCAGATCATTGCCATTATCATACAACACCTGCAGGACAGAGTTGATCCGAATGCTACCCCGTCAACGCGCGGCCGTCTGATTTGCCGGCCATCCGCCTATGTGTGTATCGGCACACAGCCAGCACGATCGGATGATAGCGATCCACATGCTATATGATCATCTCACGCCTCATGCACAATATATTAAATCCGTCCCGGAGGCCACTACGTACTACTGCCTGCTAAACGCCCGTGGATAATTCCAAGCGCCATGCATACATCGTATGTACTCCGTACGTCTGCGTCTATGCGCAAGTACATTCAAGCCAAAATACGGAGTAGTGGATGCTTCTCTGTCTTCTCCTTGTCGCTCCACCAAGTCCATGATCCGCCTGTTTCCTTTCTTTGGTCAATCAGTGGACTGCGCAGAAAACGCCAGATGGTGCCTACTCCGTACGCACGCAGGGGGAGGAGGGGAAACACCCTGGCGATTTCAATGCGCCGAAATCTATCCTATCGTGGGGGGGGCTCAGGAGGAGCAGGGCCAGCTGCGACAAGCCCACAGCAGGGTTGTTACTGGATCGATGCAGTTACTCCGTTACTCCTTACTTACTCCTCACCAGTGTGAGCTGAACCTGAGCTGTACGAGTAATTCGTTCCTCGTTCTTCTGTATCTCCTCGGGGCAGACTGGGGTTGCATCAATTACTCCGCTCCGACGAACAATGGAACTTGCCGCAGGAAGAAACCTGGAAATGCTTTTTTCCCCACAGACTTCAGTGTCTTCCCCCCAGCTGCTGCTCAGGGATCACATATGCGGCAGTACGGAGTACATACAGACCAGCATCTGGGCCTTTTTACACATCTCAACAAATCGCCTTTATGCCTACACTACGGACAGATATGACCGTGCAATTGCTGCATAACTCAGATGTGTGCAATCTCATCTAAATGAGCGTTAGCTAACTCCAAAGCCCTCTAGCTTACAAGGCTAACGATATCACATCACCACCTTTCGGATAATGTACCGAGCCAGAGATGAGAGGAAAGCGTTTCTCAGGCATGTGAAAGTGCTATGAGCTAGCTCCATGGGAGTATCTCCGAGATCTTTAATATGTTCGGCATAGTGCCGACATACTACCAAGACTCCTTCCATTCAACCGGCTGATGTGAACATGGCTGATATGTGATTTAAGCTCGGCTCTTCTCGCATAGGAGAATTAAAAAAGGGATATTCCGCGAAGCTGAATATGACCATGCGCACTCAAGGCAAGGAAACTCCATCGGACCGAGAGCGGCACTCAAATTCGGGTGCTTAACCGACCGAATGTCCTGATGCCGGCCCCCAACGGCCCGGCAATTAAGCTTTCGAACCCCAACGCCCCCAGATAAGTTATTGTGATGTGTCTGGTTTCATTGTTTGATTGCTAGTTCTCATCTATTGATATCTCTTGATGTCTATGCATCCAGGCAGCTGTAGACATCCATGCAATGGGCATGTATACACTATTCCTTGTTTGCCCGAACGCCGTAGATGAAGCTAGTATGTAAAGCCGGGCGATGAAGAATATCAGAATTCATTTTATATCCTAACACTAGTAGTAGATTCCCGGTCTGCGACTATCTACTCCATCACAAACATTGTAGCTGATAAGACGAGTGCCGTATTCTCCCTAATCCGTAGATAACCTCTGCAAAGCGGCTGACAAGCTCAACCCGATAGTTCCCGATGTTGTAGATTGATAAGAAAACTTGATTCTGGCGGGCTTGCATAATTCGTGCTAAGAATCGTAAGAGATGATAAAACAAAAGTCTAGGCAGACATGTGAAAAAAAGGCTCCCGCCGGTACTTCGTCCCCGGGCGTTCCTTGGACGCGCTTCGCCCCAATGAAATAGCCCCGAAATCACGTCAATTGTGGCCGATTGATGTCTATTATTGGCATCAGAAACATTGTGGGATAACTTAAGCGCCGCTGCTCCAGAATTCTAAAAGCCAAAATAGAGATTGTGATCTCGGTCTTTCGCTCTTAAGGAGCTGAACTATCTTACAATACAGATCCTTGAAATAGAAAATTTTACAAAGCAGATCCCTGAAATTGAGATTTTTACAAAACAGATTCCTGAAACGGGATAACTGTCCGTTGTGAAACTTATTTTTTTTTTCTTTCCCCTAGTTGTTTGAAGGCGCCACGGTTTCTTTCCAAGTGGAAAATGGGTAGTCTATTATGTCATGTCACTTTATTGACATGATACATTGGGGTTTGAAGGGTACACTGATGATGAACACTCATATTTTTTCCTCCTCGATTCGATATCGACTGCGTGTCATGCATTTGATTTGGAAGATAGGGGAGGGTGAGTGTAGTGTACTTGTGACGGCATTCGACGTTTGTACCTTTATTCGTTCTTGTTCCAATGCAAGGAAGCTTCCCGCCGTCGTATCGTTAAATGCCACTCTTGGATGGCAAAATTGGAGTTTGAACTGGCTTCCTCGTGGGGATAATTGACAAGGGACAGGGTCAGATCATGATCGTTGAAGTGATTGGCAGCATTCCTTCCGTGTCCTCACTCTCCTTCACGGTCTTCCACGGGGGAACTTTCGGTTGGCTATGCGCATCCGCAATATATTTTCTGTTTGTGTCTTTACATTTACCAGCCAATGAGCACACGCATATCACAATGCCGTTGGTTTAATGAGCCGCAATCTCGGCTCTTCTCGACATGAGAGGGGAGAGGAAGGGAGGGTGAAGAAGATGACAATTTAAGATACGCATATGCATAGCCTTCTGGCTCTCCAAGATGGACACGTCTTCATATCAGGCATTTCTGCCAATCGTTAGCCCCCCCTCATTTCTGCCTCCAAGGTTAATACTATTTGTAAACGAAAAGGAGGTCCACATAACCTGCGTCTGTTGGTTGGCCTAGCTGCATATCTTCAACCTAACAAAAGGGCGGCAGGTTTTGCCAAGAGACACAACTGTGTGAAGGGTGCCAAAAGCAACAACAAGCAAAGGGATTTGGCCAAGACGACGCTGGCTCCGCGGGGCCCCGGGTTTTCTGTCGACTTGCAGATGGCCAATGCTCGCTTTTTCCCGCGTTGCTGCCCAGTTTGTCGGAAAGGAGAAGGTGTATATGGTATCACGCAGGGCCGGAGCTGCAGGCCTAAGCATGGGGGCCAAAAAAGGGGACGATGGAACGAAGTTGGGTAGTGGCAAAAGAGGCCGATAGCCGATGGATAGGGTAACTCTGACAGGTACAGCCATGTTGCAGCCAAACGAGAAGAGGAATAGAGAGAGACGGCACAAAGAAGATGTGGCACATACTATGGGAAGATGGGAGGTTGACGGTTTGACGTTTTGTTATACCTGGGAGATGGACGCTAGGAGTTGATTTCGACCTGCTCTTTCGGATGGCCTACATGCTGCTGTGCGGGATGGTGTGAGTTGCAGTCGTGGTTACGAAATGGATAGATTTGTTGCCCGGCTGAATAGACTTTCTGCGGCCTCGTTATGCATATCGGCTCTATGCAAGGAGATTACGGTTAACGAAGGAGGTTAACGAAGGAGATTCTTGCCGAGAACATGCCAACTGCGAGATGCCTGCTGATGGGTGCTGATGCTGTCGTGCATAAGATCGTCATAGAGATTTACCGGCGGTGACGGAGCTTTTTGGAGAGCGGTTTGAGAGAAGACGTCGGCAGAATGGATAGAATCCATCTAATGAGGTGCCTTAGCCTCTTCCTATTTGTTGGATAATATTGACTAGGAGTCCTTGTTGATTCGGGCTGATGGAACTTGGAGACTAGATATCCGATATAAACACCGCAATGCACTACGCGTAGCATCGCAAAAGAGCCTCTATTAAGGTAGGATGGTCTATATTGATGTTCCGTTGATATGAAATTATGTGTTACTGCGGCGCTGTAAGGGGCGAATCAGTATTATCCGGATCACTTTTCAAAGGAGAATCGCAATTGACTCGGACGATAGGAAAACTGTAACAGAGGACAACGAGACGTGAGAGACTCGATATATTGCATTCCGTCCGGAAGCAACATACCGAAATAGGCTCCGTTCAGCCGCCGTCAACATCCAGATAATTCCACTGTGTGTCAGATTGTTCCGGAAAGAATAGGCTGAACAAGAATCAATGAGCCTAAAGGCCGTCTTCGAAGATATAGATGAAGCACAAAACATGAATCATCTCGTCATACGCGTATAGTTATACATAAACACCATCCGGGATTGGGTTGATGAAAGCTGCCCATTCATAATGCGCCATTCCAGGGCCATCTCCTTGAGAGGAGGGCAAAACAACACCTTGAAGCGCCGTATCCCACCTATTTTTAACCCCATTTGACTCCGAAGAAGCTCACAGACTTCTTGCCTGCCCGTGCCTTGGCAGTATCTGCATTTTCCAGGTAAATTCTTTCGTGTCCCTTGACATCCACGAATAGGTATTTGTAATCGTATTCGCTCTCACCACGAGGCATCACCATGTGGCATTGCACTACTCCGTTCCCTTTAGGACCCTCAACCTGAATAGTATGAATAATTGCGTAATAATGGCGAAAATATCCAAGCTAGGAGACTTACGTAAAAATGCATCATGAGATGTTGATTACCCTGACCATCCATCCTCTCGGTGGATCTTGACAGATATTCATGTAAGCGTATTGTTTTTGCGTTCGGGTGCCTGGATTACCTACGTGATGGGTCGTGCTCTTCTCCATTTGTTGAAGGTCTCATCTCCATGAGCTGAAATTTTGTTCGCATCACCTAGAAGCTCAAGGCATCTGTGGTCTTTCTTAATTCTATCGACAGCCCTGTTGAACTGTCTCGTTTTACTCTCGGGAGAAAAGACATCTGTCCATAGGAAATACGTAACGCCACCCTGTGTGCCAATTGTAAATTAGCTTTACTGATTTCATGTATATTCATAACTATCCACCAATAAATGCTGATGGCATATGCACGTACAGTTAAAACCAGGCCGACTATAATCATGCCAAAGTTGTATGACTGCTGGGTTGCCCTCGCCGCCTTCTCAGTGGCTGATAATTCACTCCATGGCACAAATCCGGTGTCATTAAACGGAGTTACGCTCCTTCGTTTGGGCTTTGACGTCGCCGTAGCTCCAAGTCCAGTCTGGGTCGCATAAGTCCGCGCAAAAAGCAGCCGGGCGGATTGTCTGATTGTGGAATTGGCGACGATTCGAATCGCAGGAACTGTAGTTGTTGGTGTCATCATGGCGGCTCCTCGGCTTCCATCTTACCGAGACAGCTCGTACAGATGAGATGGCCGCGGGGTAGCGTAAAGCCAAGCGAGTTTCAACAACGGGAGCTTGATATAGAAGAGTGAAGCTTTCACAAGCAGCAATAGCTTGTAGTACTTGCATCTTGCGCGCCACCGCCCTCGGCAGAAAATCAAAGTGGGGAGATCGCCTAGCTAGAATGAGGTTAGCGGCTCCAATTATGCCACTTTACCGCATCGCCAAATGCCTTTGGGAGTCTCCTTAATAATAATTATCCCAATCGTGACTGCACTTCGTCCTCTCTGCTCTCCCTTGACGCGGTCGCTGTAGAGACGAACGCTACGACGGGTTCTAGATATACCAAGGAATATTCGGCCAGACTCGTATCAGAACCGGACGCCGCTCGCCACGATGAGTGCCCCCCTCGCGACCAAGCAGCAATCGCTGAAGATCTTCGAGAGGTTGAAGACGAAGCCAGCGAACAAGGTACGGAGGCTCGCAGTGGACACAAGTTGGAATCGAAATGCTAAGCGCGCCATCGTGTCTATAGATATGCTTTGACTGTGGACAGAAGAATCCCACCTGGACTTCAGTTCCCTTCGGCATCTACCTGTGCCTAGATTGCTCCGCGAACCATCGCAACCTGGGTGTTCACATCTCCTTTGTGCGATCCACAAACCTCGATCGTATGTATCCTGCAATGTTGTTGTTGTTGTTGTTTCGACGCATGTTCTGATCTGTGATCTTTAGAGTGGCAATGGGATCAGCTTCGAGTAATGAAGGTTGGCGGCAACGAATCTGCGACCAAGTTCTTCCAGCAAAACGGCGGTACCGCGGCATTGAACAGCAAGGACCCCAAGACCAAATACCAGTCCAGTGCGGCTACCAAGTACAAGGATGAGTTGAAGCGACGCGCGGCGCGTGATGCCTTAGAGTATACTATCCCGAATACTCCGAATATATAAAGCAGATCTCTAACTCCAATGCTAGATACCCGGAAGAAGTGATTGTCGATGGCCTCGAGGCAGATGGCAGCTCCACCCCTGCTGGAGAACCTGAGGATGACTTCTTCTCATCCTGGGACAAGCCCACGATTAAGAAGCCGACGCCGCCCTTATCACGAACTGCAACACCCCCTGTCGTCGGCCGCACCCCATCTCCTTTCCTCAGCGCCGGCAACAAGGACGTTCCCCGTGCCGCGTCGCCTCTATCAAAGACAGATTCGACCGAGTCGAAGCCTGCGGCTAGCCGTGTCACCACATCCGCGGCTTTGCGAAAAACCACCCCGTCCGGCGGCCCCAAGAAGGCCAACATCCTTGGTGCGAAGAAGGTGCAAAAGCTGGGCGTGAAGAAGGTCACTGGCGATATCATTGACTTTGACGAGGCGGAGAAGAAGGCCAAGGAGGAGGCTGAGCGCATCGCCAAGCTGGGATACGACCCTGAAGCCGAAGAAGAACAGGCGGCAAAGAGCAGTGCCGCTTCCTCCGCCGCCGCCATTATTTCTCCAACTCCCATTAGCCCAGCCCCTAGCTCGCATACACGACAGAAGTCGAATGCTGAAATGGAGCGGTTAGGAATGGGCATGGGACGTCTCGGATTCGGTCAGATTGGCGGTGCTAAGGCTACTCCTTCTGCTTCCTCTGCCAAGAAGAATGCTGGTGGCTTCGGCTCTGTCGGACCCGTAAAGGCAACTGCAGCTGGTAAGTTGTGCTCTAAGGAGAAATGGATTTTCATAAGCTAATAAGCCTGGTTTGCAGATGATTCAGAGACATTTGCCCGTAGCAAATTTGGTGCCCAGAAGGCCATCTCTTCTGACGAATATTTCGGCAAGGGCTCCTATGATCCTAATGCCCAGGCCGAGGCCAAGACGCGACTTCAAGGATTCGAAGGCGCTACGGCCATCTCCTCAAATGCCTACTTTGGACGGCCTGAGGAGGAAGAGGAGGAGGACTATGGTGATCTCGAGTCGGCTGCAAAGGACTTTGTGCGGAAGTTTGGAATCACTGCCGCTGATGATTTGGAGAACTTAACCAATGTCATTGGTGAAGGTGCTTCAAAATTACAAAGTGCCATCCGATCTTACCTCGATGGTTAGGTGTAAGATACTATTCAAACACTAGTCTAAAATGTGGAGGATAAGGGTACATCTGCATTTTGCTTTCTTTGGATGAAAATCACATGCTACAGGATGGGAAATGATGTGGGATGACGGAGTGAAATGCTATGGAGTATCGAGATGGTTGGAAGGGAGGGGGGATTTTACATGAGAATGGCGCAAATTGTAATGTCAAAAAAAAAAGCTGACACGAATAGACGTGGAGTCTTTTTTCTCTTGTTTTCCTTTTAATTTCTCAGAATATATACAAGGAACTTTTTAACATTGACATTCACTTCATACTCTGTGATATCGAGAAGTCACCCCGACGTAAACATATTGACGAGAGACACAACTAGCAAGAAAAGTGACCACCCACTTAAGGCTTGATTATTTTCAGAATATTTTTTTTTCTTTATTTTTATTTGTTACATAGTTTGCATGTAATCATCAAAAACTTTATATGCTACCTGTATAGTCTACATGACATGACGTGGCATGGAACAATAAAGAAAAAATGGAATACCAACAGGCTTCATGAAAACAAACCCAGCAATAAACAAGAGGGAAAAAAAAGAGATTGTTTTGATTTTTTTACAGCTTGGACTGAGCACCGATGATGAGCTGGCTGCCCTTCTTCAGCTGGGCAACAGCATCATTGACGAGCTCATCGACGACGTCCTTGGCGGGCTTCTGGACGTTGACTACGGCGGCAGCCTTGCCCATCAGGAAGGGGCGGAACTGCTCCAGAGGGTCCTCATCCTCGTCGTTGTTGGCCTCCTCGGCGGTCTGAACGATGGAGGGCTTGTCGCCACCGTTGAGGACCTTGTCGAGGTCGGCCTCGTAGGGGATGGTGCCCTTGGCGGCGAGCTCCTTCATCTCCTGCTGGCGGTTGGTCTCCCAGTCGTTGATGTAGGCGTTGTTGCGGACGCGCATGGGGCGGCCAGTGAAGATGATGGTGCGGATGTTGTCGTCGTGGCCGGCGGTGCGGACGGCCTCCTTGTGGGACTTGGGAGCGCCGGCTTCGTCGGTCAGGATGAAGCGGGTGCCGACCCAGACGGCGGAGGCGCCCATGACGAGGGCGGCGGCGAGGGTCTGGCCGTTGCTGATGCCACCGGCGGCGATGACCTGGACGGGTCCGCCAGTCAGGGGAGACTTGGCGTTGCCGACGGCCTCGACAACGGCGGGGATCAGGACGGTGGTGGGGGTATCACCAGTGTGGCCACCGCCCTCACCGCCCTGGGCGCAGATGATGTCGGCGCCGACGTCCAGGCACTTCTGGACGTGCTTGACGTGGCCGATCATGTTCATGTACAGGATGCCGGCCTTGTGCAGCCTCTCGACGGTGGCCTTGGGAGGCACGCCGATGGCGCAGACGAACAGCTTGGCGCCGGACTCGATGATGATGTCGACGAGGGCATCGAGCTTGCCCTTGGTGTAGTCATAGCTATTGGAGATCTGTCAGCTTCTGGAATGCTTTTCTGCGTCTTCTCCTCTTCTTTCTTCCACTTCTTCGCGGCAGCCAACTTTTGTTCGCGCCGACTCTGGCCGAAACGGCCGATTTCGAAGCATGTGATTATTGATAATCGGGGTGGTGGCGTTTTTTTCTCTTTTTTTGGAGTAAGGCTTACTTGGTCTTGCGGGCGCTTCCACCAACCTGGGGGAGAAGCAGGTCGACGCCAAAGGGAGCGTTCTTGTCGTTGAGGTAGCTCTTGAGCTCAGCAATCTGCTCCTTGAGCATGTCGGGGGTGTAGCCGACACCGCCGATGACACCGAGACCGCCGGCGTTGGTGACAGCAGCCGCCAGCTTGGGGCCGGCAGCGACGTTCATGCCGGCCAGCAGGACGGGGTGCTTGATCTTGAAAAGATCAGTGATGGGAGTGCGGATCTGCTCTGTTTCGGTTGCGCGTCATGGTCAGCCCTCTGCCTCGATCTCCAGATTCCGGACGCGACTGTTTCCGTGACGTCGGCGACTTTTTGTCATCAGGGGGACAAGTGGCAAAACTTACGAGGAGAAGCCATTGTGAATGATGTGTCTGGTGGTCTCGCCGGGGAAGGGTATCAAAGAGACGACAGGGAAGCAAGATGGAGAGAAGTGAATGAAGAAGGGAGGAGAAGAAGAGAAGGGGGATGCGGAGGCAGTTCCAACTTAAGAATAATATTTTGGATTCCCGGCCGAGAGGGGACCGTCCGAAGGCAGAAGTCGGTTTACTGAATCTCCAACATTTGACTGATGAGCCGAGGCTTGGGCAAGACGCTATGGCCAAGGACGGGCTAGCTTTGGCGGTGGATCTGGGGAAAGATGCCGAGGTGCGTGGCTTAGTCACCAGCCGAGAGAATAGCATGAGGCATGGGATGGGTGATTGAGCGTGAGCTCGCAAGGTGTGGCTAAATGTTCGATTGATTTTGCGGGGAGTCTAGCGCTGTGTGTTCCCCGGATTCCACGACGATGTGAAATTTGGACGGCGGCGCTGCTACAAGCCGAAAAGATGCTATAAGAGACACAGGGCACCTACCTGAATATGTGCAGATTTAGTAGCATATAGCATATAGGCACTACTACCATTGACTGCTTCCATGTTGCAGCACTAAAGCCTGCCCTACTCTGTGCCGCGTGGCTCAAATCTGATTAGTAGCCGGCAGCCGAGTTTACGATCCCGGGTTTCCAGGCTGCGGAGAGAGTTTTGCCTGCTGCATTAGCATCAGCATCAGCAGCAGACCGAGGCATCCAACATGCTGCGACGATGTTCCCTAGTGGCTTCCAGAAGCCGCAGCACCGGGATCCACTTCCAGCCAGTACAGGGTAGCTCGCATCGGAAAAATTGGAACCGCCAAAATAATCTCAGCAGCCTCAACGCTTCAGCTCGAATAGCACCGCAGCTCTAGGTTGGAATTGCCACCCCGGCTCGACTCCTCTCGTGGGAGCACAGAAGCCATCGACAAGATGCGATTTCACATACAACACCACGCTCCACTAATGAGGGGCCTGCGCAGCTCTGGCGTGCGCAGCTTCCACACATCTCCGCATAGCCACTTGGTCAACATCCATCGGCCAAAGCCACAAGCCGCAGCAAAACGAAGCTCATCATCGGGCTCACAGAGCCGATCTCACTCAGGATGCGGTTGCCACCCTGCGCCTGCTGCTGCGAACCAAACCAGGACGGCATACATTGCCCTGGGAAGCAATCTCGGTGACCGTGTATCCGAGATTGAAAAGGCATGCAATGAGATGAACCGGCGAGGCATTCGGGTCAAGCGAACCAGCAGTCTCTGGGAAACGGAGCCCATGTATGTGACGGATCAAGACCGCTTCATCAACGGTGCTTGCGAGGTGAGTCTTTCACAGCAATTGGCTAGTATTTGCGAAAATATTGTTACTAATTTGGATGCATGCTCCTCTCAGGTTGAGACTGAACTTGAACCTCTGGGGCTGCTTGATGAGCTACAAGCCATCGAGCGTGACATGGGCCGTAAGAAAGTGATTGACAAAGGTCCACGCAATATCGACCTAGATATATTACTCTATGGCGATGAAAAGGTCCAGAATGACAGACTCAATGTGCCACATATTGGCATCCCTGAGCGCGAATTTGTCCTGAGACCATTGGCAGAGTAAGACAACTCGTCTTCAATGTTTTGAAAAAGACATCTCATGACTGATCTTCATTTTTTTTTCTCAACTTAGGTTAATTCCATCAAAGCCGCTGTATGCGTCGCAGCCATGGAAGCTGGTCCAGGATTACCTAAATGACCTCACTCCTGGCGAGCCCCTATCCTCCATTACGCCAATGTCTTCAGCGCTGGCACCACTCACGCCCCTCGTACGTAACAGAAAGACTAGCGTCATGGGAATCCTGAATATGACGCCTGATTCCTTCTCCGATGGTGGCCGCAACAATCTGGAAACTCTGTCCAATACCGTCAAGGATCTTGTTCGCAACGGGGCATCCATCATCGACGTGGGTGGGCAGTCGACAGCCCCTGGACGCCCCGAGGTATCCGCAGAGGAAGAAGCTTCTCGGGTGTTGCCCGCCATTGAACTCATCCGCTCCATACCGGAAACCCGTCACGTCGCCATTAGCGTCGACACCTATCGCGCATCCGTTGCTGAGAAGGCCATCGCCAGCGGGGCCGACATTATCAATGATGTTTCTGCCGGTACTCTCGATGCCGAAATGCTCCCAACTGTGGGCAGGCTTGGGAAAACCATTTGCCTAATGCATATGCGCGGAACTCCACAGAACATGACCCAGCTCACTTCCTATCCAGAGGGCCTGGTGCCAACCGTCGCGGCAGAGTTGCTCGAGCGCGTAGCCGCAGCCGAAGCAGCAGGTATCCGACGGTGGCGGATAATTCTCGACCCAGGAATCGGGTTCGCAAAAACGGGCGCCCAGAACCTGGAACTGCTACGTAGCCTGGAAGAGCTCAGGGAATGGCCTGGCCTACGTGGCCTGCCATGGCTCGTTGGCACGAGTCGCAAGAGCTTTATCGGCAAGGTGACTGGAGTGGAAGAGGCATCGCAAAGGGTCTGGGGCACGGCCGCGACAGTGGCAGCGGCAGTTCAAGGAGGAGCGGATGTGATACGTGTACACGATGTTCGGGAGATGGCCTTGGTGACCACCATGTCGGATGCTATCTGGAGAGCCTGAGACTGAAATATGAACCTGACTTGACTCTGGGCTGCGCGTCTATTACTTCCTTCTCAACTCCTTCGTCTCCATATCTTCTGACCTATCCCTTTCTGTCCTCCTCCTCCCCCTCTCTGTCGCTCTGGATGCTTCGTCTCTCACCATGACTTTCCACTTTTCCTCCCCACACCTTTGCAACAGGGTTCATTATATTACGCAGACCAAGCAAGTCGATGGCCATGAAGCAAGATCTATCCAACGGCTAGCTAAATATCCTCAAGCCTCAGAAACATATGGAATCCGGGTAAAATACGTCGACGACCCCTGGCATCTTTGCTTTGATTTCCATCTTTAACTGGGAAAATTACTTCGCCTTCTTCACCGGTAGGCAGCATATCACGTTTGCGACTTTTTCGGACACATTTCCTTGTCACACATCGGAGCTTGATCCCTAGTCGTGTAGTAACAATGAAAAGGGCCTTCGGAAAACAGCCTCTCGGATATACCGTCGATCACCGGTGTGGACTTGCAGCTCGTGCAACCCCAGAACATAAAAGCTGATGAGAACAATGAAGGGGTGAAAGAAGCATGTAGTGCAACCAACCCCCGATAGCCGGGCGTTTATTGTTCTGATGCTATGATATTCAGATGTTCTGACCGGGGGGGAGGGGGGCCGAGATTTGATCCTCTTGTTGGGCCGAAATACCTTGCCAGGTGACACGTAAAGGCCACCCGTATGGTGCTTTTTGCGTGGTTTTTGTTGTGCATGTACGCATATATGCAAAACACGGACGTTACACAAAAATCTCATCTGGCGGCAACAGCTATGGCTGCGGCTCTATGGCTGTTATGGCGTGATTGATAACATAATAACATACACAACAAGGCCCATCGCCGTCAAAAGGAAAAAGAAATGATCCACAAGGATGAGTTTTATGTACAGCTACAACGCCACCAGCCAGACGCTACAAGAGAGTACACACACACACACACACTCATACATACATACATACATACATACATACAGAGAGTGATATGCAAGGTGGTATGCAGGGTCGTAACACGTGGATTGGGTTACCTAACCGGTATGGCTGCAACAAGCGAGTCAGGCTATCCTTCGTACATGAAATGCAAAAAAGTGATTAGAAGCAAACGAGCGGGCCGACTACCGAATGGGAAGAGATTGTGTGAAAAGGATGGGGAAAGCCTCTTGGCCACATTGAGGCAATGCCGTGGCTCCGTAAGGCAGATATGCTTACTTGAGACAATTCACTCCCCTCCTCTTTTTATTTTCTCTTCGGCGTCTCTTTTCCTCGTCTTCTCTTCTCTTCTCTTCTGCCATGCTTAGCCGCTCTGCACACCCCCCTTTTTGGCTGCTGCTGACTCCTTTGTGAATAATATCTCCGTAGACCGAACTGCTGTGGCACTTGAACCGATGACGGACGTAACAGCAGATGCACCTGTAGGGCTGATCCGGCAGCGAAGAAGCCGTCAGGCTAATAGCTGGAGATTATGAGATATGAGATATAAGACTAGGGGAGCTCAGATGGCTTGTGCTGCCATGAAATAACCAAACAAGCGATGAATGGCATTTTCGGTGAAAGCGGACATTGGGAACGAGTATCTCCCAAGTAAGCTTAAGACCGACGGAGGCAGCCTAAGCTGTGCAAACAAAAGGACATGCCATAGCGTTCTTTCTTTTTTTCATTCGATCTTGCCTCCCTCCCTTCTCTAAGTTCTTATTACATCATACGGCACACTGTGAGCCGTACGTAAAAAAAAGGATTAGCTTGGAGAGATGCCATTTCTAGGCATTGCCGTGTGAGACACTGCCAGCTAGGACGAGAGCGAATCATCAAGCTAGCACATGAGTAATTTCGTAATCCGTAAGAAAGCAGGGCACGCCCCCCCAAAGGAGAAGAAAAAAAAAAGCCACACACAGCCTTGCTTTCGTGCCTTCTCTCTCCTGGAGTATTTTCCCTCGGTTGTCGGTGATAGCCCGTCAGCCCGCTCCAGGTATTTCTCGGTGGTGCTCCCCCGGATCCTCTCCCCCTCAATCCCTCCCAGCAGGGAAGAGAAAGGAAAAGAAAAGAAAAGAAGAAAGAGAAGAGAAAGTAGGGGTTTCCCCCGCTTTGATGGCTGACCCTTGGATGGTCCATTCCACGCCAGCTTTTGATAGGCTAGACGTGGGTCGCCGCAATAGGAGACCAAGCATGTGAGTGAGTGTGCGTACGGCGGTAGTACGAAGTAGGTAATACTGGTAGGTAGTATCTGAAATTCGTCCGGTCTCCGACAGAGTGCTGTGTTGTGTCTTTCGATTCTTTTTTCGATTCGCTGCTTTCTTTGGTTTTCCTCGCTGGCACTTGCACGCGAGCCTCATTCAAAAGGGTTCCCTATATGAATAGCACTAGGACAAATATAGTATCCTAGTTTTTTTCTAGTTTCCATATTTTATTCCTTGACAGGGGGTGGAAACGATGGCTTCCTATGCGAGCACTGTCATGAATGATCTGACGCCATGGGGTGGGGGTTATATTCCCCAAAAACTGGAGTTTCCGAAGGAGGGGTGTACGGCTATTAAGATAATGAGCAGGTACAACGAGATACGGCCAGGATCCAAGGCATATGGTAAAAATTCCTTTCGAGGGGGCAGTGGCCTGCTCCAAGAAAGCAGAAAGTGAGGTACAGAATGACTCGAGGACTCCTTGATGTCGAGCTGTTGACGGGCAAAAAGCAATGGCTGAATCATCGGATGCATTGTATTCCTCTTCATTTTATTCTCTTCTGATGTCTATGCGTGAATCTCGCGTTGCAGTCTTAGTAGCCGCTGCGATAGACTCGGATCTTGGTCTTGGTTAATTTAAACTAACACGGCAATGCATGGCCTTATTATTGCCGCAATAGAGCGTCGAGCGGAGGACGGCAATGAACCGACGAACCCAACCCCACACTCGGCTCCCTGTGAAGGGTCGGAGCATCTTGTCCGAAGACCCTGTTAGAAAATGTTTGGTTGTTGATGGAGCATCGCCTGTGCTCTAATTACTGGAAGACTAGTGCTGGCTGATAGTAGCAGCAGTAGCCTCTGTCCCGATGTCAAAAAAGGGACGGGCCGGATCGAATTATGGGTCTAGGGAACTAGACCCCATGTTGTGCGGCGTCAGTGCTAATAAACGCAGAGCTGCCATTGCTCGTCCAGGTTATGAGCGAGAGTCTGCTTCACGTGCAGCAACGTCTCTTGTCGAGCACGCTCCGCTTCTCTTTCACGCCGGCTTTGACGTTGCTTGACAGAAAAAAAAAATTTAGAACTCAGATACCATGTAATATATCATCTTCTCGTTGAAAGATAGGCCGAATAACCAATGTAGCTTCCCGCAGAAAAGACGTCTTTTCTTCAGGCGCGCCTGATGGGATATCTTCCCCTGTGCATGCTAACAGCCGTTCTCCCAAGATCCCAAGCAAAATCAACAAAATAAGCCATTAAAAGGAGCGTTCGGATCGAACGAGTACTAATATTAAGCCACTTGCTTCGATTTAGCTGCAGACGATAGGCCTGACAGCCAAAGCCACGCGCTTTGTGGTATATGTATGCAGGGTTCAAATTATGTAGATTGCGCAGCTAGGTGCGTCTGTGAAGTGCAAATATGCGATACTCCGGGTAAAAAAAAAGTGAGAACAAAGGAAGTGTGTTGGAGCTGCTCTCACCACGGCAAGGACACGATAAGGCGTATAAAATTCTCCTCGACTGGAGGCGTACAACTAACTTAATGCGGCAAATGCGGCATGAGCTGGCCTCCCACAGACAGAGCATGCAAATAAAAAAGAAAACAGAACAATAGAGATGTTTTCATACTGAAGCATGCCGGTTCACAGCGAGCCTGACGTGACGGCTATTTCTGGTGGCAGAATAGCCTGAGCGAGTGGACCCTTTTGCTTTCAGCTGCATGTGTCAGAAAGCATTGCCGTGGGGGGTCTCATAGCAGGTGGTACTTACCTGCACCTTGAATGTATAGAATGCCAAGAGAACTTACAATCGAGCCACGATATTGAATCTCAGCAGTCGTGTCGCAGCTTGGGATGCAATGTTTCCGAGATACCAATCCATCTGATAGAAAAGTCCCCGAAAAGCTCAGTGCTCGTTCGAGTAAGTGCTGGCAGTAGCAGCAATAGATTGCCCCTGTCCAATAGCGTGCAGTTATGCGGCACTGATCTCTCCAGAAGGATCCACGTATGTGTCTAATGGCTCCATTAGATCCATCAAGTACCTAGTTGAATCTCGGATACAGGGTTAGCCCAACCATGAGAGAGTCCGCTCGTGAATGCCCTTCTTGGAAAACATGTAATTGAACCAAGTACTCCGTGCACCTATCTTATCGGTGAGCGTGGGATGAAACTGCGGCATATGCGGCCATCGATATTACAACTCCACGCCGGGATCGTCGCCGTGCGTCCACTCCGAAATTCAATGGCTTGCGGCTGGTCCTTCACCGTGGTGGTATGTGGTATCGTGCCTCGCTTGTGGCTTCGGTTAGAGGCCGGCGGCAAGACGCCGTGTCTGCAGGTCGCATAAGCGGCTGCATTAGTATGCTCGCTTGTACATAGACACTCCCCTCTTGTGCTTCATTTGGTGGTCGTCGTATGGGACAGAAAGGGTGAGAGGGAAGAAAGAATCTCAGCTGGCAATTTATCGCACAAATGATAAAGATGAATCAAATTTCAGCTCTCGGAAATTTCAAAAATGTAAAGGTTGGCTGAAATAATATCGGTTAAGGAGGTGGGATGAGAATTTCCCACTGCCCTGACAATCATCCAGCAGGCACAATGGCATGTGTTGTAATCATGTTGCATTCATCAAATAGACTAGCCTATCGTAGGAATTGCGGGTGAGAAAACAAAAGAAGGGAAGAGAAAAGAAAACAAGGCACCGACCGTGGCGGCGCGAGAGGCAGGGAGCACTCCTCAGCCTATGCAAGACCAGGCTCAGCCTATGCATGCCCCCCCCCCTTTTCAATAAGTCCGCTATTATTATGCCAACGCCACTGTGATGCTCTCATAGGGATCCTGGTACCTGGTCAGGCGAATCTGCATGATCTTACAGCACGCCGTAGTATTTGCTACCACACTCGGTGCTCTTTGAATAAGGAAACGGCCATTATGCGGAATGAAAAGAAAGAAGAAGAAGAAAAAGAAGAAAAAGGAGGAGAGGGAACTAAATAGATGAATGATGAAACACAAAGTAATTCTTAGCATCATAAAGACTGAACAAAGAGCCTCTGTAGTGGAAAATTTAGAATATATCAGTATCCCTTGCGTTAGTATCATTTGCGTCCTTCGTCCAAGAAAAACAGAAGGAAAAAGGAGAGAAAGGGACAGAAAAAAAAAACTCGGAGAAAAAATTATCAAGAAACGAAAACACATCAATAAGAGTAAAGTAATAGGGATATTAAAAGAAAGAACCCAAAAAAAGAATCCAATCTTAGAGAAGGTCAAGAAAAGTCCAAAATCCAAACCCAAATCCATGCATCGTCGTTGGTATCCCATCCCGATATCCCTTGCGTTGCCGCATGTATCCGGCCCAAAAGACCAAATATCAATTCCTTTGCCCTCTCTGGCCAAGAGAAGGTTGAAGGATGAATCTATTTCCAAGCAAAACAATTTCTCTCTTTTTCTCTTCCACAAGAAAAAGAAAAAAAAAAAGTGAAAAAAAAAGGGCTGTAGCATTCATTGTGTGTCGTGGATTTTCCGGAGCTTGCTGCTGTCGACACGAGCCCTGCGGCTCTGCCCAGTCATGTATAATTTTCCCATATTTCCAAAGCCCTCAGTTCCCAAGTAGATGTCGCTTTTGTTGCCCCGATTTCCAGCCCTTCCAATTGTTGCAATTTATTTCCAAAATTTCAGTATAACTCTTGCGGAGGTAGCATGCGTTTTCTTTTTTCTTTTCTTTTCTTTTCTTTTCTTTTCTTTTTTTTTGGTATGTTTGTTTTTGAGCTTATCCCTCCCCTCCTTTCCTCTTTCTCCCGTCTTGGTCGGGTTGATGTTTTAATTCGTAGGCCCAACGCGAGTCGTAGCCACGTGCACCATCCATCCCAACTAATAGCGCCACAACTACAAAGTCATGTTTGCGCTGGGAGACAAGATGGCAGGGTAGTAACCGGCTGAAGTGGTTTTCCCTTCAAACATTGACAGCTGGCGACGACTGTCCGTGAGCGGTGGATGAAAGACACGAGGCGTAATGTCGTACTCACTCTTTACTTTGGAGTCAGCAGATGACTGCGATTGAGTATTTTCTTGCTCGTTGCGAGTGCCGAACATCTCAAGTGGCCGCGGCGGAGAGCTATCGTATATTGACCCAGGGTAGTATAAATATCCTTTGGAGGCACCGATCGTCTTGTCGTCGTCAGGAGACATTGTCACTTCGCCAGGAACCTCATGGTTCCGTGGCGTTTGGTATACTGATCCCCTTGGGTCATAGGGTGCATTATACGTGCCGTTGCCACCGAGGAGGCTAGGATGAGGCGAAAACTCTCCAATGCTTGACAACGATCCAT